CTCCTTCGTTCTTTCTAGCATTCCGCGACCCGTGTGCACTAGAACCTAATCTAGGACGCAAATTCTTCACCTGTATCTCCCATCTCTCCGCGAATTCCTCATGGCTAGCCTGTACATAACCTGTTAAACTAGTGAATTTCTTGTGCTTTCCGCACACCATATAGAATTGGTGGCCTCTTGACGGTATGCTTGGAGCATACACTTCTGAAAATAAGCTTAGTTTTATCTGGGACATCAGTAAATGTTCAACATTGTCGGCAATCAATAACGGAAGCCCACCGTCTGAAAGCTCAACAGGCGGTTTCGGAATTCTCCCACTTTCTATCCATGATGGTATGCATTCCTTTGCCAGTGCAGCAATTTGATCGCTTGATAGTGGGACCTCGCCCCGATCAGTACTCTTGGTCTTCTTGGTCTTTTGCCGCTCCATGAGTTGCACTTCACTCTCTACCACGAATCGTTTATCTTCTTCTGCGGACATTTTTTGTATAGTTGTTCTACTGTAAACCTGAAACGCGTACAAGGCAATTAGAAAAGCAGATGTGTTTTTTCAGAAACGTGCCATATTCATCTCAACGGAGTTGCAAATATCGGTTAGAAAACATGGGAAAAGAAAAAAACGCTAGATGCAGTGGTCTTGTTTGAAATGTGTTCGAGTTTCTGTTAATGTTGCTGTCAAAATTTGTTTTAATGAGTCTTGTTGTGTACAATATTGTTATCGCTGTTGTTCCAGAAATACTCCGACCAATCGTATTGAAGGTAACACTGTTTATCTGGTGCATTTTGTGTTAGGCTGTATTGTTAACATGCGCACAAGTGTGAAAAAGTACGAGGCGATCGAAAGAAAAGAAAAGAAAATTCAAAAAAAATAAAAGGAAGCAAGACAAAATTCTTTAATGCATGTGGGCAGTGAAGGAGGGCCTGCTTCTGTTTACTGGAGAACACCTAAGGAATATTCCGCCGTAAAACTTTCATTAACATCGGCTCCCTGTGCGACGAAAAGTTCGATGATGTGCGCCATGGGCAAAGTGTCTCTTTTTTTTGGCCACCCCTGTATATATACGTATATATATATTATATTATATATATATGTATTAATATATACGAAGAGCA